TTGCAATTTCTTGGATTAAACTGGGACAGACTTTGAAAGACTCCAAAGATCTGAGAGTAAGAGAGACTTCAATCATTCAGTTTTTCATCACTAGCAATATTAAAATCCCCAGATAAGATTATTCTTTGTCTCATACTCATATAAATAAGGACTAATTCTACTTAGGAAATGCCAAAGTTTGATTTAGAGGGAATTATTCCTGACCATTCAAAGTGGTAACAGAATATATCTCACAGTGAAAATAGAAGCCAAGCCATTATCTGCCCTGCCCAGAGAACAGTAACACACACTGCAATCCCTATCTGGGTACCTCATCTGAAAGAAATCTGACGATTTTTCCTGAAGCTATTCTGGGATAATTGTATCTTTGTCCATTATAAATTCACATACATTTTTCTAAGCAAAGCAAGGGTCCCATTGGCACCATTACAAATAATCTTATATGAGTTTTCCAAAGGTAAGTCTTGCTTAACTTCAACAGGGAGTTAACTAAACACTCTACAGAAATTTTATTTGTCCTCATAAGCAATAATAGATCCCTGTAAATGTAAAGCAAGTCACACACAATCAAATATGCTGGCATAGGAGTAGTCATGCTCCCACTCCTATAAAAAGTAAATAAATGGTGCCAATAAAGACATGTCAACATGTAAGAAGAAACCTTTTGTTTTAAAGCATACATAACTAAAAAATATTTTATAAGCTTTAAAAAATTCATTAAGACTCAGGCCCAGGTTGTTGGAAAGCATTCTCAGTGACTGGATCTGTCGCAGTCTCTTTGGGGTGAATTCTGCATTTTCACCTACAGAGACCACAGAGCAAGCTCAACTTACTTGAAACTGGGCCCTACTCTTCCTGGATTGTCACTGAGAATAGGAAAAACTTTGTCCATCCTTTCCATGCAACCCTATCCACTGTATCTACAGGCCTGTGCTTTTTTTCCCATTTTGGGCTCACTCCAGGCATGCAGGGAAACTCTGCAAGTCTCCTGAACTACTGCATTTGCACAGAGAATGTAAAGTTGATGTATTTGCAATCATCAGCCAAACAAACAAGTGTTCTTTTACCTAAAAATATTGAAATGTTTCACTGCAATAGAAAGCTGACATAAGAAATTGATATGGCAGCTGATACAGTCAAAGTGTCATAGGGATTAATGTATGGGAACATCTCTGTAGCCCACCCCTCTCTCACACTGCAGTCAGCCACAACTGTTTCAAAGAGGAGACACGCAGGAGATGTGTCCTGCGAACAGGATTAGGCTGGAAAAATGACCTACAGAATTTGGATCCACATACAAATTTTCCCAGGGAGTCCAGATTTCAGCACAGCCTGTTTGTAACACTAAGAAAAGTGCAACCATACGCAGAGGACATCTCCTAACTGAAATGCTCATGCACAAAGATTTTCTACGCTTAACAGCTGGGCAAACTTTACAAGGTAATTAAAGGCATGTGGAGCCCTTCTTTGCAGCACAGTGAACTTTCATGTAATACATCCCAGTCCTTACAAGTCACTGAAATGTCCCAAACTGAAGTGGTGCTTACAGCCAGGCTTGCTTTAGGAGATAACTATGTCACAAAAGCACTCCTCCCCTTTCCTGGGGAGTTTTTCAAACTGGCAAAGGTGAGGTAATGTATGTGTGAGACGGACAAAGACCAGCATTGTCACTCATTAGTGATGGCACGGGACAGAAGGGTGCTTCTGCACCTTAAATATAACTGAAATAAATGGAAGTTTAAGCTGTCACTCTTACAGTTAGACTCTGTAACTGATAGATGGCTCTTCCAAGGTGCCCTTTTATACCAAGTCTCAATACAGAGTACCAGGATTTAATTCTGGAACTGATTCATAAATAATACTAAAGAATTGCATCAGTCAAATCTGTAGCTTTTCGTTAGTATCAGAAGTGCATAAACCATGTAAGACCTAGATGGATTTGGCAAACCATCTGAAGGATGTTTATTAACAGAAAAAGGTGAGTGCTACCTATGTTTGACAGGTCCCTGCCTTGTGAGTTAAATAACAGTTTTGGAAAATAAAACAAAACTCATGAGTACTTCCTTCAGTCTTTGGCCATCTGCATCACTTTGGAACATTCACGTAAAATAGACATACTTGATTTTTTAACAGAAACATTTAATTCTCATTCACAGTTTGCTGTGAACAAAAACTTCAACACTTAAGAAATAAATGAAAGTGAGGAGCACATAAGATTCTTGCTACATCTGTTAGGGAACAGAAAAATATCTCAGAATCCCAGAAGCCTGGGGAGGGGAATGGGGATACTGGAAGAAGGGGCTGTATCTCATGGGCTGTAGGGCAGAAGTGCTTATTCCAGCAAAGCTCAGGACACCTTGTAACATCATAGGAAGCGAAGCACAGACTATATCTTCCTAGTAAAAGATTTCAGAGAACTCCACTGAATATTTTCCTTCTGAAAGACCTTTTCATTTCCATTTTGAATAGTCAAGGAGAATGACCTAAGCTGGTATGTCCCTTACCACTGAGTGTAACATGTTACTTAACCTGCAGTGCATTAGCAGTATCTGGTATCCAGCAGACATGAGGCAACTCGCATTTCTAAGATGACAGAACCCTGTGTTGTGAGATTCTGTATTACAAGACTTCAGGCTGTAAATAATTACAAGGCTCTCTTACCTAGATTCCGGGACTTCCTTCATGGTTTTAGAGGAAGTATTTCTGTCTCTGGTACTAATCCATGGCAGGTTCACTCTTTTGAGCTGTGAAATTTCTTGTTACTCTATTTAGCAAAGACAGATCTTAGATATTTTAGTAAACGGGAATACACAATTATTGCATTGATAAGAGATATGAGGATGTATTCATCTCGGTTTTGCAGGGTAGCTATAATGGTCTCTGACACATGGAGCTGTGAAAGCAGTGACTGTTGGGCTCCAAAGCATTCTTTTTTTCCTGGGTATTCTTTGCACTGCTAACATGTGATAATGTATTGTTGTATGTTAATCCATCTTGTCAGCTCATCTGAAATAATCTAGCCCAACTGCTTTTGACCTTTATTGATTCACAAACCTCTAAATATTTTCCAGTGAGATTACAAACTCTCTGCACTCTGAATTTAAGCTAATTCGTAATAGCCTTGCTTTCCTTTGTTGTTTTTGAGGGATTTCTTGGAAATGGTCCCTTGCAGCGGTTGCAGGCCAGGGGTTGAAAACCGTTTGTAATTTATGGCCAAACTCGCAGCTAGAGTAAGTTGGCATAATTCCACCGATTTCAAAGGAAAAATCCCTTGATAGTATCGGTTAGAATAATGCCTAGTTTATTGAACATTAGCTGGGGAACTTCCCCTGGTTTTAGTCCTTCTCTGTAGCTTTCACTGTGAATAAGACTGAGCTCCATTTCAACGTAATTATATCTCCTTTGGGAAATATTGCTTCCTTACTACCCAGATCAGAACACATTGAAAAGCCCAAGAGGAATCTTAACAAATTTCACATGGGAAAACTTACCAGTAAATTCTTCAAGTTTTATTTTATGCTTGATCTCAGGTATATCTTAGATGTCAATTTTTTCAGATGAATTCAGTCAGCTAGTACTCTTTATCTCAGCAGTGGTGCAGTGTAATGTATGTACAACTCCTATATGGGCCAGACAGTTTAGTATGATTTTTAGTTGGATTTTGAAAACAAGTCATTCTACAGTTAGGGTCTTGGACATGGTATCGTTGCCTCTGAACAGTGTTGCACTGATCTGCACCAGATGATTGTGTGCCCAATTAAACTAAGATGCTCGAGGTTCCCCGTAAATGCCAAAGATGCAATATTGCTGCTGCCTCTGAAAGTGCAGAGCTCAAATAGGAAGGTGGATATTAAGAAAAGTAATAATTAGATCTGAAATTTTAATAATTGGATACCTTTTCTGAAAATAGTTACAAGTATTTACCTTTTAAAAGACAAGAAAATCTCCAAAAAATTAGAGAAGAATGGAGAACTGTCTTTTATGCTGTTACTGCCCAGCTCACTTGCAGCTCCATCACACCACAACGAATAACTAAAGAAAACCATTATTATGCAAACCACTCTAGCACAAAAGGGTATTACATATCTGGTACAAAAGGGGATTTCTTTAAAAAGCACAGCACATTCAGTGTTTAGGGTTTGCCGTTGAAATTCATGGCCTTGCTTGCCAGTATTATCATGCAGCTGGGTACTATGCTGCTGCTTTACTCTGAGGGGAAAAAGATCACAATAAAGATATTAAAACGGGTTCAATTTAAACTGTTGTATTCCATTATGTTGCAACATCAGTTTTTAATGATTTTGGTCACCTCTTCTCTAGCACAAAGGTCAAAATAAACACTAGCCACACAGACTTCGACTGCACACAGAAGTGGTTGAAAGGCACGTCTTTTGATTTAAAAATTACCAGCGGGAAACAGTGGTAGGCATCATTTCAGTGCTGAAAACTAAGATGTTTGATAGGATTGACAAAATGCTTTTTCTTTTGTTTAGCAGCCATGAAACAGAAGTCCATCTTTCTGTGGGAAAAGTTTCTGATAATCTGTTATATTGATGCCATAAGTAAAATAAGTATTTAGTATTTAAATTATTTTTTTAATCTTTCCAGAAATTCACTCCTATTTGAATAAAAGCAAAATCAGTTCACACAAAATATTCTTGGTAAGCAAAAGATTAAATGTAGTCTCTTAGAATGCATCATCTCTATGACATGAGTATTCAAACATGAATTTGGATGAGTACGTAACATGCCTTTACAGGGTTAGGTGCCTCCTGCTTCTTCTGTGTGCAGCCTTCATTTTGTGATTAGTTTAAAACACCTTAAAAAGCATCAGTGCCTTTTCAGGTATTCTTTTTTAAGAATCACTATTGAGCCACACAGTACAAGTGAAACCATTTCAGAGGAACAGGTTAAACTTTTGTCATTTGCTTACGTCATCTGTCTCTCTCTGGCTGTCAGATACACGACTCTCTGGGCATCTTCAGCCACGTTTGCAAGTCCTTATTTCTGATTTTGTGTTCTCTCTGTCCCGGAGGACCACCAGAGGGCTGAGTGATAGGCACTCTGTGCTGAAAAACAAAGGAATGGCACAAAATGAACATCATTGTTGGGGGGAAGAAAAAAAAAAAGCTGTGGAATTGTTCCTTGGAATTGTTTCTTGGCATGGATTAGAAGAGAAGGCAGGCTCAGACACTGAACACACTGTGCCATACAAACATTAAATGCAGACTAGCTCTGGATGTACACTGAAGTTAGCAATAGGAAAAACAGGTTCAGCAAGCTACATAACAATGAATGTATAATTTGATCCAATGTTCATTTCCTTTACATCAAACTGAAAGAACAAGAGATGTTACAAAATACTGTCCCAATCTTGCTTGCTAAATATAGCTGTTATTTGTCCTGGTTGTTCATTTGATTACAAAAGAATGAATTCCTACTTTATTATTCCAAGTTGTTAGTAACTGTAAGTCATCAGCTATGTTAGGAAAAGTGGTGGTGAAAAAAAAAACACTGATCTCAAAATACCCAGAGGTCTGGAGCACCTCTCTTATGAAAAAAGCTATGAATAAAAACTGAAGTGACTGGGCTTGTTCAGCTTGGAGAAAAGAAGGCTCTGGGGAGACCTCATTGCAGCCTTCCAGTACTTGAGGGGAGCTTATAAACAGGATGGAGGGCGAGTTTCTACACGATCTGATAGCAACCGGAAGAGGAGAAATGGTTTTAAACTAAAAAAGGAGAGATTTAGACTGAATCTTAGGAGAATTTTTTTTTTTTTTACTCAGCAGCTGGTGAGGCACTGGCACAGCCACCAAAGATTGTGGCTGCCCCATACCTGGAGATGCCCAAGGCCAGGTTGGGAGGGGACCTTGGCAGTCTGAGCTGGGGGTGGCAACCAGCCCATGGCAGGGGGGTTGGAACTGGATGATCATTAAGATCCCTTCCAACTCAAGCCAATCTATGATTCTATGATCAGGGTTGAGACAGATATTAGCATTTTTGTACAACTTTGTTTCTTATTTTTATCCGTATCAACAATTAAAATTTACTACATGTGATACAGCATTCCACTTTTCTTTCTTCTAATCTTTTCATTCTGTGCAAATTATTTAAAAATGTTTCAAGCTTGTGTGTTAAACATAGATAAAAAAATCGATATGCACCTTTTCTGGTCATCAGCGTGAATGGTACTTAAGCCCTTTATGCCACTGCAGCCTGATTAATAAAAAGCCCTGCTTTCAGAAACTTAAGGTAGAAATGCTATGTGATCAGTAGTACGGTTCTGTAGGTAAAGTAATATTTCCAGCAACAGGATAGCATGGCATAGCTCTTTTAGAAGAGGGAGGTCTTAGTATCTTCATTTTAGAGATGGAAAGAATTATTCACAGAAGCTTAAAGTTGTTCAAGGTATAAAGCAGATACTTGCTCTTCCAAATCTCTTCTACCACCATATGCACAGTTTGCACAGTTCCAATGATCGTGATGACTGACCAGTGCATATAGTGTGAGCTTGTGAACTTGTGACACTGGCAGTGCTGTGCAGAGCCTCCTACTAGAGTAGCTGGATAGTGCTAATGAGCATTCCTTTGTTAATGAATGATGCATTACTCATGCTTCCATTTAAGTATGACACTTTTTTTCTACTCAGCAGCTATTTTTTTTTTAATTAAATAAATTCTCAATGTTTCTGGCATAACCAGGAAAACAATACAAAATGAAGAAAACACACTAGGCAAGACATACTAATTACTGTCTGTGATTAATTAGTAATTATAAGCCCACTCACAGAGTCTCAAAAGTTAGTGAGTAATTTGTTTGCATGAATTCAATAAAAGAAGGCAAATTTCAAAATACTTTCATTGGTATTATTTTAATTGACAGATGAGCTGGTTGGTTGCCATTGCTTCCAAAACTTAAACTAAGAATGGACATAGCAGTATCCTGTTCGTTAGGCTGATGAGGAATCAGAAGCCTAACAAACAACCTGTAGCAAAATAATTAGTCCTCATAGTCTACATTTTGCTCAGGCTCTCAATGAGACTCTGATTTACCAGACTGTAGCAGGGAAGCATTTAGCGATGATTTCAAGCATTCTTGAGTTCTAACGCCAGGAAGTGTGTCAGACCCTAATGGCAGGTTTGACCATTGGCAAAACCCTGAAGTGAGGACTTCCTAAGGAATTAGTCACAAAGTCTTGATGTCATAAGAGCCCTGGATATCCCTGGTAGAATTTAAGTGTGCTCCTTTGCTACACTTGAAGACTTGCACTTCTGTCTTCTGTCTCATGTAGCCTTATTGTGAAGCCACGTGCTGTTACTGCTTCCTTTTAAGCTGGATTAGAGTGATTTTTCTTGTTTGTTTGTATGTGTGTGTGTGTGTGTGTCTTAAAACAGTCTTAAAAATATTTCCTCAGATTGCCTAGCCTGTGTTGTTAAATTTTCTTGCTTATTTTCCGTTTATCATTGCAAAGCCTGCTGAAACATGACAGTTCTTATAGAATTTTTAATTACTCTTCCATGGAATAAAATTGTTGTAAGCTTAAAACCAGGACACGAGTGAGTTACGTAGTTCTTCCTTCAGTTAACCCATCATATGGCTTCAGAGCAAGGTTTTAAAATAGCACTATCTAAAAAAATAATGTTATGAATCACTACTTCTTCCAAGATCTTTTGAAGTTCTCCCATTTCCTGTTTGTAAATCCTTAGTCTTTGCATTAAAATGTTCTCAGACAGGAAAACAATAACAATTGATTTACATGGACAAAAGCAGCTTTTCTGAGTTTTCAGTCCAGCTTCCTCTGAGATCCCATTGACCTCCAAAGTTCAACTTCTTCCAAGAAAGTTTTCTTTGGGATTAATGGCCTTCAGAGTCAAATCATCGTTGAGTGCTATAGCCATTACCAGTGCTATAACTAAGGCTGTATCAGCATTTCCACATAAACTCTTATTTTCAGAGATTTATAGCTTGCCTACAAAAATATAGTTTTCTGCTGAAACTTGGAAGAAAAAGAAAAGCTCAAAGCTCAGTCTGGGAGTAATTTTACTTCTTATTTTGGGAAATCTGCACAGCTCTGTGGGTATTTTTAGACTGAAATTCTGAACGAGATCATGTCTTGCTGCATCCACTTGGTGCCTTGGAGAATTCCCCGCCTGACTTTCTAAGATCTACTTCTGACAAATTATGGAACAGCAATGAGAAAAGTTTAAGAATGTTTTTTTCCCAATGCTAAAGATTCCTAAACTGGATCTAGTCATTATTCTCTAGAAGACATTTCAAACACTTGAAAATTCTAAGATGTGTTTGAAGATTGCAACCAAACAAACGTGAGCTGAACAAAGTGTTCTGCAATAAATGGAGAGTTCTGAATGTTTCTGTTGCATCCTCATGCAGCATAATTGAGCATCATGCTGATACTTCTGCAGTTATAACCTCTGATAGACTGGAAAATGAGAACCCTGATTGTTACACAGAAGAGGCCCAAGAAAAGCTAAGGTGAAATGAGGAGTTTGGGGATACTGTGGCCTCCTGTTTCTGCAGAACCCATGACAGGGCCCTCATACACCAAAGAGGACTGCATGGGAAGGTGGAGGAGGCAGCACCTTTCTCAAACATCATGAAAGTAAATCTAATAAAAATTAGAGCTTCATAGATCAAGACAAGAAGTACTTACTCTGCTCTGCACACACCATTTCAGAAGAGATTTGGAGGCACCATCTGGAGGGAAGGATGACAGATGCCGTGGAGTTCCCAGTTTCCTTTGCAGGTAATTCCTGCAAAAGGTCGACTTGGTCCTGAGTCATTGCCACTGGGGATGAAAATATGAAGTGATACAACACACAAACATGTTCAAGGCTACAGATTTAATTGCTTCAAAGAAAAATGTACTCAGCTAAGATGATGACCCAGTGCAATACAGTGGTTCCCATGACTCATCCATTCCAAAATAGAAATCTGAGCAAACCAGAGACAATACCCTGCGTCCCCAAATCCCCCCAAAACTGGTCACCAAAACTAAAAATGCCTATCCAATCTTTCCTCACAAATATGGGATATTTTTAATGTCTGTGCCCAGCCACAGGATCACTATTTCACTTAGCTGAAACAAACCATACATTTTCTTGTCAATCACATGCCACATGAAGTAAAAGGCCAAGTCACCCCCAGAGCATCTTCTCATTTCAGAAATGTCAGTGACTACCTCAATTGCTCCTATAATCCAGACAGATCACCCTTACATTCATTCTCTTCTGTTTTCTAGCAGAAATATTTGCCCCCCCCCCCCCAAAACAGCAAGGCAGCATCTTTGAAAACAAGGCAGTAGCAACCATACAGAAACAACAGTGCTGCATCTCAGTAGGAAATATTAGCCTTCTTATCCTTGGGAATGATCTATTCAAATTTGATCCAGAAATCTTTCTTTTTTTGAGGGGGAGCTGCTCATTATGACTAGATAAATGCAGTCCAAACTCTGAAACTTCTTTTGAAGGCATGATAGCAGGGAAACCTCACAGATGGGATTAGAAGGAAGATAATGAGGTAGCTTCGCATATGTCTAAAGGAGCCCTTCCCACATGTAAGGCATGGCATAGGATAAAGCTTGAAATGGAATGACTGAAAGTCTAAGAAGTGGATGGAGGAGGCTGGCATCATGGGCTAATCAGTGAAAGAAGTGGTTTCTTGATCCTGAATGAGAGATGATAGGTAGGATGAGGGGAAGCTACCAATGGCTTTGAAAGTGAAGACAAGCTGCTTATATCAGATAGAAAAAGAGTTTTATATTTGACAGTCAAAGCGATGGGCTAGGAAAATGATCTCTGCAGTGCTATGCAGTGCAGATTCATCCCTGAAAAATTGCATTTGTCAAAACCAGAGGAATGGATATTGCAGCAGTCAACTTAGCTTTATGATATTTTACATATATATTAGTTCTTGCATAATAATGATCATATAGTAAACTTTATAGCTTACAATTAGCGTAATTGTTTTTAATGATTTTTGGAAACTAGTGACATTGTAAAGTGGGCATTTTGTTGGATACTTCTCATAAGATTTTTTTGCAACATTCTTGTAAAAATTCCAGTTTTCTAAAAGAAGAAAATGATATACTTAACATCCTTTTTATATGCATCTCTTTTCTTTTTTTGGCTAAGGCCTTTCATTTAAACACAATACCTGAGGGCATTCAATGCTCATATCCATAGCACATTACGCAGTGACTTAGCTGGTGGTCTTGGTTTATTCCTCTCTGGGCTCTGCTGGCAGGAAAGAGGTTGTCCATTACAATTTGGAGATCACTCTGGAAAATCCGTATGCTGGATAACACATACATCAGGTCACTAGCATGCCACCTCCCAGACATGCAGATATAACAGCAATTCTACACTTTACTTGGAATGGTGGTAGCATATAGTGGTTCTGGCTGTAATACACAAGAAATTCCTTTTATTCCCTATTGCATCATAGCTTTCATTTCCCCCATGCAGAGACTGACTGCTGCATACACATTCTTCCAGGGCTTTTCCTATTAATAGACAACCTGGCTTCACACGCTGAAATGAAGGAACAAGGTTTTGAGTGCCTGCCTAATTTAAGCAGACCATATGTCATATGCTATAGTATCCAGTCAGAGGAGAATAAAATAAAGCAAGATTGAGAGGTAAAATAGCTTCCTACCATTAGCTGAACTCTCAGACTCAAAATTCCAAGGACCTTTTTTTAAGCATGCTCAGAACTAGTTGCTTGTTCTACACATCACATGAAGTTACTCATATTTCTAATGCGTTCTTAATGGGTGTGCTGTCTCAGGAGTAGGATTTCTGAGCACTACTACAATACAAACAATAATCCTGACATTTTTTTTTTATTATTTTTTTTTTCCTCTGGAATGATCTTCAAGCTTTTAAAGTGTGTTTTAAACAGCTTCACAATTTTCTGCTTTGGCTTTCCAACTTGTAAAAACTGGAGTACAGTTGTTTACTATTTATTCAGTATGCCATGACTGTAGAACGAAGCCTACAAAGGCTATTGCAAACCTTCCTTGGCACTAGTGGATGAATGTTGCTTTTTAAAGCACATTATATTAATTATTATTGCTTAACCAGTCCATCTCTGCTGCACAGTTGAAAGAAATGTGCTCTTTCAGATGCCTTGGCTGGTTATATAATCAGCATTCCTCACAAATGTTTGACTCATTAGGGCTAGCAATCACATTTTCCTGGCAAGTTGTCTAGAGCTGTCTGCAAGCAGTCAGGGAACTAGAAAATGTAATAATCTGATTTTCCATTTACTTCCTCCCCCTTATCTCAGACACTTCTACTGCAGCTTTTACCCCTTTGCCTTGTCTTTAGGTGTCTCTTGATAAGCAGCATTGCCAGAGCATTTTTTTCATGTCACAGAATGGATAAGAGCATGGTCAGCTGACAGGCATGCATGCTTCCACATTCTCAGGTTTTTAGGAAGTGCTATCCTGTACTTTCAGTAAAAGTCCAACTTGCATTACGTTTACAATCCAAACTGGCATTGTCAGAGGCTTACACTGGTATGAAAAACAGAAAAGAAAGAAATTGCATTGCAGCTTAAGACTTCATTGTTTTCTTATCTTCTGCTTGCAACCAATGAGAAGAATAAAAGATTCGCTGTCTCAAATGGGAGGGAAAAGATTAACAGAGAGAAAAAATTACTGGAAACGAGGAGTAATTTTCTGTGCATATTTTAACCAGCGATCATCTGGTTGCTTTATGAATCTGCAGTACTGCGTAGCGCCTGCAGTTTAGATACTCAAAAATCAGAAATGATTACAGTTTAACAAATAAAAGCCACATTTGGGAAAAAACAGCTTACTGGTCATTTATTCACTTTTGCAAATACTATACTTCTTCCTCACCTTTCTCTTCTATTTAATCCAGTTAGTAGCCTACACTCAAAGGTGATGACTAAAGTTAAAACAGCAGTTATGAAAATAGGGAAGAAGGCTGATTTCAATCAACAGTAAAAGTTATGCAATACAAAGCTCTATGATGTGGCACACTCTGCTAGAAAAAACAATCCATGCTGCTGTCCTATGAAGCCTTCTGTGATGTATGCCTGTGAGATGTGACCATGAGGACCGAATTCATATCTTTGTGGTATCTAAGAGGAAAAAAAAGTCTGAAACATCATCTCTGATTGTATATTAGAAAGGTCAGTCATCCTGCCACATTTCATGGTAACTCCTCACCCTACTGTAATTATCTGTGAATTTCTGACAATTGGCAACCAACAAAAAGGTAGACTTGTCTTATATTTCAAGGAGAGTTCTGAGCCAGAAGTCTGACTCTGTGCAGCTGTAATAGACAGCTGCATGTCTGTAAGAATTCATCTGCATCTGCGCAACGTAATCTGTGTATTTGAGCCACAATGTCCTCCAGTTTTGCAAAGTGAAACTAGGTATTTTGGTATTTCAGATTTAAAGTGTTGAGAAAAAGACTTTGTAACAAATGTTTTCTCTTAGAGTAGTGGAGGTGTAATTTAAGAAATCATTTTGGCACATGTCATAGACAACATCTTAGAAGCTTCCTCAGGATCCTAGCACTGGAGTTGCACTGCTCCATTTGCTTCATCTTGCTCAATGCAAAAGAGAAACTGAAAAGTCAGGCTTTCTCTGACCGCGTGTTCCCTTTGAAGAAGGAGTTGTAATTGTTGGCAAGGGAAGGAAGGAGCTAGGACAAAACAAGGGAAGGAAGAAGTTGTTATTATTTTTTTTTTTCCACCAGCCAGCTCCTTAATTTTGCTGCCAAGATTATAACTCTAATTTACAAGACAAACATAAATCTATTTATATATTATTTAACTTGAATTACAGAAAATGACATGGCGTTTGGGTAGCAATCTTTGGATATTCAGAGAAGGGAAAATGAGGGAAATACGCAAATGAGACAAGGGTCATTCTGATGCTAATGAAAAACGTTCCTAGTAAAAAAGAAAGTTTCTGTTCATGCTTAAGGTATTTTTAACTCATTGCATAATTTTTTCTTTTTAAATGTCTCTTATTATGGAGATAAGGTAGAAATGTATAAGTACTTAGATGTAGCAATCTCTAAGCATTTAAGCAAACAATGACTCCTTGAGAAGGATCAATGAAGGAAGCCTCCCTGTAGTCATCCTTGAATAATTTATATGTATTATGGGATAATCAGAACCAAAATACATCAACATAAAAGAATTATCCTGATGAATTTATTAATTGCAATAATTATTTAATGTAACATGTTAAGATTCACGATGATAGTATAAAAGTTGATGTCATGAACTAAGTTGTGAGGATCTTCTCTGCAGAATTTGCATATACCAAAATTATTTGGTAGAGCCTATCTGAATTGTATGCAAAGTCTGTGTTTTTAAGCAGAAACAACCCATTACATCACATTTTGCAATGTAGCACCCCCTTACAAAACTTTTCCACTTAACTATAACTCGCTTAAAAATGACCAATCTATTCAGCCTTCCCAGAAAAAAATGAAAGAAAAAAAGTATTTTCAAATACTAAAAAAGATAGAATTACTTTGTTGTTGTTGTTATCACATTGTAACTACATGCCTGACCTCAAAGAGAAGCAAGAATTTAGACTTTTGCATGAACAGCCTCTGGAGATACCAAGAATCACTTTTAAACTGAAAGATGGAAAAAATCCGTTTCTGCAAAATATATTTTTTATAAAGCAAGACTCCAACAAGACAAACTTTATGATAGTTACACAATGTGGGAATATAGTTAAAGAAATCTGTAGCAAATCTATCTGAAAGATCAAAAGTAATGAGGCTCTTCGACTCCGTTTCCACTGACATAATATCTTACATTTATTGGAGGACTAATGCCTTCCATACATTACATTAAAATTTGACCTTCCTTTCTTTTTACTACATTCTTATGTCACTTCTAAAACAAATCTTTCTCTGCCATTAGGGAACATAGATGGAATAATGGGCCCATGCCTAGAAACATAACATAAAAAAATTGTGAAAATAAAAGGAAATGAGGCAGTTTTTCAAAGGAATTAAAAATCAAGTAGCCAGACTTCGTCTTTAAAAAAGCTGGAATTTTGCTAGATTAAATCCCACAGTATTATATATTCATCCAGATTTTTGAGCAATCTGTAGATCCAATACTTAAGCTAAAAGATTATTTATCATTACAAATATAGTTCAAAACCATGTATGAGTATCATAATAAATGTTAGGGTGCCTCATAACCAAAATGCAAGTAGGAAAAAAACCCCATATATTATTCAATCATAGTTATTTAAATTAAAACTATTAATTGGAGCCCTAAATTCAATTGCCAAATACCCTTAGCTATGACTTTTTTGAATGGAGACTGCGCTTGTGCTGCTCTTCTCAGAAAATCCCCCTTAATCAGGACTAAAGAAACAGCTGCAAACATTCAACAGCTACCAATATCCAACAGGATTCAGTTTGGTGAAGTTTCCTGATGTTTCATTTTGTATCTTCAGTTTTACCAAGTTTCCTAGTGAGAATCAGTTTTGTTTTTAAAATCTGGAAATGATTCTGATCAAGATGTCAGACACTGGCATCATACTTAGTTTGAGCTTCTCTCTTCATAATGGATGTTGAAAGACAATGGATGTTTAGTGTGAGAATAAGCACTAACACGTCTGGGTTGTTTCTTTCCAGATCCAAGCAAACTCACAAAGCAGAAAGGGAGAAATGACAGTATCCATTTGGTTTTTGGTCCATCTGGAAATAGGTCACCTAACTGTGGTTTTTGATCTGGGATTTAATTGTGGAGTATTTCCTTTTTTTTCTGGGAAAGAAACAGCCTTCCCTTACCTTAATAAGTAAAGAATCTAACTGAGTAATTTAGTTTCTCAAAATATTCAAGGGATCCAAATTCATAATGAAAATACTCAATGCTTTCACTGACTCTTTTTGGGAAGTATCTTATGTAAAGCCAGGATCTGGCATGCCTTAGAAACTATACAGCCAAAAAAAAGTAGTAAAGGCAAGGATCTCTGAGAAACTTGCTGCTGCTGCTTAGCTGGTGGGACTTGGAATCGCAAGGGGTGTCATAAAAGCCGGATAGTCTCGGGGAAGGCGAAAATAGGTCTCATTTTGACACTTTCCTCCAAAACTAGCTTCTTCTTTGTTACTATTTACTATCCATTACATGCAACGTTTTCAGACAACAGTCTTTCTAGCTTCTCTTTAATACCAGAAAAAAATGGTCTGCCATTAGACATGGCATTTTCCCTCTTTCACAGAT